TAATGAATTCAGGGAGGTCCAAAGATGTCTCTAAGCTCATACCACAGAAGAGGAAATTGTGGTTCAAAACAGTTTTATTATTTGTCTAAAAGGCAGAGCCTGCCCATTTTTACCTGACTACAAAATCCATGTTGTTTGCTGCTACGGGACACACCAATTCCTCAAAGCACTTTATTTGGTGTCCTCGGCACCTAACATAGTACCTGGCATGTGGCAGGTCCTTACTATTTGTGGAATGAATGAATACTACATTTTTTGAGCCTCTGTACATTGCAACTATGTACAAATAAGTCCACAGGAACAGTATTACCACGCACTGAGTTTCCAGCACACTCTAGATGTGTTTATTATCCCTGTAGTCTCCACTTCAACTCGATGAGTAGGCATTGCATTATACCCACTTTTGTTTGTTTGTTTGTTTGTTTTTTTGGTACGGGGATCAAACTCTGGACCTTGCACTTGCGAAGCAGGGGGCAGACCCCTGAGCTGAATCCCCGGCCCTCCATTATACCACTTTACAGATGAGAAATGGGAATTTTAGATGTAGGTAACTTGCCTCCAGTCATACCACAGCAAAACGCTGTGCTAGGAAGAGGTGGATACTTTTTAGTATTGGAACGCTGACCATTTGTACCTGAGCATCTTACTTGCAGAAACACAAAAGCAAAGGGAAAGTGTCCTCCAACAATTGACTTAGCAGAAGGAAAGGGTTACAGGGTCCCTTTAGGATTCATTTTCTCAAGTGTTTGTTACATTTAAGAGAAAGAGGAAGTAAAAGCTGAAATTCCCTAAAGACACAGCTGATTAATAATCAGAAGTGAAGACAAAGCTAACCCAAAGTTTTAACTGCGTGAATGTTGGGAAATGGATTCTCAGGCACTCTCTGCGTGCATGTCAATTAGAAAAACCTCTTGACACCCATAGGTCTTAGTCACTTTCTTCTGGCTGGGACAAAAATATTCACCACCCACAAGTTAAAGAAAGGTAGGCTTATTTTTCACCCTTGCCCAGCCCTCCCTTCAACCCCTCCATTCCCCCCTATTTACAAAGATTTTGTTCCTATTTTTCCATTTTCTCATATTAATCCCATTCCCTTCTATCCTTTCCCCTAGCCCTCCCACTTCCTTCCCCTTTGCCCCTTTTCTTCCTATTTCACATTGCCTATTATACATTTTAGTCCTTATTTACACTTTCAGTTTCTCACACCAGAGAAACTATTCGGTATTTACACATGTGTGTCCTATTTATTTCACTTAAGAGTATCACCTCAATGTGCATCCACTTAGCTATAAATGTCTCTAATTTCTCATTTTTTGTGGCTGAGTAGTACTCCATTTTATAAAAAAAAACCACATTTTCACATTTCAGTCCATAGTCGGCTGACTCCAAGGCAGGGCAGCCATGGCAGAGGGGCGTGGCCGAGGAGAGCTGCTCGGCCATGGTGGCTGGGAAGCACAGGGTTGAAGGGAAGACATGGGAAGGGAAATATGACCTTCCGGGTCGAGCCTTCCATTGACCTGCCTCTTGCAGCCAGGCCCTACCTCCTAACAGCAAGCTGGCTAAATGCCTCCCATAATCCAGTCACCTTCCCAAAGGTCCCACCTATGGTCACAAGAGGCTTTAATAGATATAAATCATAACATCAAATCTTTGTGAAGAAATCCAGGTGCCCAGTGGGACATGCTTTTATGAAACAAGGAAGCGCTCTCTCCTTGTGTGTGTATATGTACAAGGGCTGCTTGCTCATGAGCATTAGAGGGGGATTTGGGGTTGGAGAAACATCATCTATGTCCACTGTCTTGGTCTATTGGGCTTTTACTCCATTGAGTTTAACATATCTATTGTCAAAAGCAAACACCCTTTTTGAAGGGATGTTTTACAGGACAGGCCTCAGGTGTTTCACTTTACAACAAAAAAAGAGGGCAAGCCTTGTGACACAGCACTGGTTTTGAACCTTATGCTTCGGACAACATGAAAATCACAGTATAACGGGGTAGGAAAAGGCGGGGACACAGCCAAGACATGGGAAAATGGAGCCGAGGCAAAATCAGCATTTCTCATTTTGTTTCTAGATTTGTAGTTTCGCTTTGAGATTGCAAGAAAACCCTCTGAGTGCAGCAACCGCTTCTAAGGAGGGGGCCAAGTAGTGGATTCCAGATTTGTTGTTTATTAATTTTTCAACCAGCATTTATGGACTTCAACTTGAGTTCTAGATACTGAAAGAAAAGGTTCAATGGTTGCCGGCCCTGAGCAAACTCCTCGGCTCATGAGGAAGGGATTCATAGACGTTCCCCAAAGGTGCTTTCCTGGGCTGGGTGGTCAGGACCAGAGTCTGCACTGTCCCGGAGTTTGAGGGCCACCTATGTCGCTCATCCAGGAGAGTGCACAGTGGGGAGACCTGGCCTGGTTTGGAAAGGCTTCCTGAGGAAGTCGCATGGGGGGCTGACCTGAGTGGTCAAGAGGAGGCAGGCGTGATATAGGGAGAAGACGTGCAACTCCCAAACCTGCTAGGTATCCGAAGTGTGAGTTCATGTTCTCTGAAATCGAAGAATGAATTCCAGGAACAACGGAGGTTAAGAGTAGGAAGAATTTATTGAGCGAAAGATAGCTCTGTTTAAGAGAAACAAAAGGGGGACGGGAAAGTGAGTTGCCCACTCACCCAACTTCTCAAAGGTGTTTTCAGGGACAAAGCCATGAAGTGAGGCGGGCTCAAGGTAGGACAAAACTATAATCAACTAGTAAGATTGCAAGTAGAGTCGCTTAGGTAGTTTGATCCAGTGAGAAATCACAAAGTGAACAAAAACTATGAGCAACCAGTAAGATTATGACAAGCATAGTTGCTTAGGTAATATTGATTAAATGGGGATCCAATGGCGAAACAAGGGATGTAGCAAGCATTCAAGGAATGAGCTAGGATTTTTGGTGGAAAGGGCTGGGTCAAGGATTTTTCTTGGTCCCCCTCCCAGGTGACTGATACCTATTTAGAGTATCAATCACTGTTATTCATCCTTAGGGGAAGTGTGTGAAGTGTGGTAGTTTCTCTTCTTTTACAATGCTGGCTTTCAATGAATGTATCTTGATTGTCCTCCATGTTGGCTCCTTCACTATCCTCCATGTTAGTTCCTGTCTAACTGCCGACAAGATATCTAATTAACTAACTTACCTATCTGGAATAGGAGGACTACTATGGGCTAAAGACAGAGGAGAACTTGGGCTGACTGGGGACCGAGTGACCCAGTAGGGCTGGGAGGTCATGGAAGTTGGGGACAGATGTAGCATGGAGGTAGGGAAAAATAATTTCATAATTAAAGTATGACTATACCTAAGGCCCAATGTCACCTTGCCAGAGAGCAGGCTCTGGTATGTAGAAACATAATTCCATTTTGCCTCTGGCTTCATCTGGGGGTAGGACAAATTCTTTATTAGCCTATCTCATCCCACCTACTGCCGTAAGAGCTCTCCTTACCACCCTCATCAACATAAGATCCTCAGCGACCTAAAATCCTCATCAACATAGGATCACTGCCACCCCTAAGCCACCTGTACTCCCTCCAATTATTGTGTGCACACAGTAAATAATGGCTAGCTCTGGAGAGTCTTTGTCTTTGTCCACTCTGAGACACTGCCCTCCCAGCCCCCCCCCCCATATTATGAAATTACACTAGTCTCTATGTCTTTCTCTCTTTAGCCCTTGTGTCCCCCTTTCTAGGCAGATTGGAGGACTGACTGCCCTCCCACACCTCCTGCTATAATGTCTGCAGCCCTGGTCCCTCACCTGAACTCCAGATGTTTATATCCCATAGGCTCCTTGGTGTCTCCTCTTGCAGCCCTGATAGGCATCTCAGACTTACTGCATTTAAACAAAATTCTCCATTCACACTTTTCCCCCAAAACCACATCCACTTTGTTCCCAATTTTCCTATACGTAGCAATACTGTCCTTCCTTTGATCAGATAGTTACCCAGAATAAAAACTTAGGAGTCACTTGACTCCTAATAAACGCCCCCACCCCATTCATCAGCAAATACTGTTGCCCCTACTTTCAAACTCCATCCAGAGTTCAACTCTCAATTTTTTTTGCCACCTTTGTTACTCCTGTTCAGAGTCCATCCTTACCCTCTGCATTGTATTCTCAACACCAGAGGCAGGTTGGGCCTTTAGATGTCACAGCAGATGGAAGCACACAGTGACCTGAATGGGTTAAAAATCAAGTATACTGTCCCAAAACCCCAAACAGACAAAAAAGTTTGTGTCCTGTCCTACAATGCTGCAGATGACCTGGCCTCCCGCTCCCTTCTGAGCCTCTCATGCCCCTCTCTCCAGTCCAGCTACCAGGGCCTCCTTGCTCCAGGCACAGGTCAAGAACTCGAGCAGGGGATCTCGGGGGTGGGGTCCCCTGGAGGTGAGAATCCGGGCCCTTTGGAGCCTGGAAGTGAGCGGAGTTTACGTCTGCCCTTCCCTCGGCCTGGAAATCATTTGCCCCACGGGAATCCCATGGCCTGATCTTCTGGTGACTTAGGTCTCTGCTTAAACGTCACAGACATTCTCTTGAGAAAGGAAAGACAGAGGAAGCCCATGGATTGTTAAACTGACAGCAGTGCAGTGTCCGAGCATTCCAGACCCTGTTCTAAACTCGCCCCATGTCTCTGCTGCCCTAGAAATCAGGCAGTGCCCTTTTACATGTAGTGCTCCCTTACCACGAGATGGGCAGTGTGGTCCACCGTGGGAGACACGAACCCACTTAATCCTAAAATCCCCGCGAAGCCCCCCCCCCCCCCCCATCTCCGCTTCATATCCGCAGTGCAGCCAGGTTAAAAGAAGCTTGCACCAGTCCCTGAGCCAGGACTGGATTTGAACCCAGGGCTCAGCCACTGATGCTACTGAGAAAAGGAGTCAAACTGAAGTTGGGCCATGAGAGGCGAGCAGGAGACCGGGCATCTGTTCCCTGCAGCTCAGAGCCCAGTAGCCTTTAGTTTCCCGAGAGAGGAAGCGCAGTGACTACAGTGTGAAGGGCGAAGTTGGTACCGCTCTGAGTGCGGACTCAGTGGCTCCAGGCTTCCAGGCGATGGTTTCTCCCGGAGCGGAGGGCCTGGGCCCCTGAGTAGGAGAAGTCCTGGGCTGGAGGGCTGCTGCCCTGTCTTTTAAATTCTTTCAACACTTACGGTCTGCGCCCCACGGAACTTTGAGGCAGGGGGGTGGGGCTGGGAAGCGAAGCAAAGAAAAAGCAACTGAAAGGAGAGGGGGAGGCTCAGTGTCAGGCCGGCCGGCGCCCTCCTCTCTTCCTGCTCAGCCTCCCGCCGCCTCAGCCTCCCTGGGCTCAGCCCGAGCGAGCGGCCACCGCCACCGCATTCTGTCTCATGGCCCGCTGCGAATTCAGCCAGCTGTCCCGGGACGAGCCCTGCTGCCCGCTGTCGCGTAGAGGCCGGCTCTGCCTGGGCCTCGCGCTCCTGGTCCTGATCCTGTCCGCCGCGGTCCTGCTCGTAGCGCTGACGCGGTCCCCGACACCGACCCCCGAGGCCTTGGCGTGGAACGGGACCGGCTCCACGCGCAACCTCTTCGCGATCGTCCTGGGCCGGTGTTACACCTACACCCAACTCCTGCGGCCGGGCCTCGGGTGAGCGGCTCCGGGGCACCGCGCGGCACGGGGCCAGCTGGGCGGGCGCGGCCCACGCGTGTCCGTGGAGGGGGCGCCCGGCTCCCGTGCACCGCGGGGACACAGCGGCTGGGGACGCGGGGCTACGGAGCGGGTCTCGGGGCGGGGTGAGACTCCGACCTGCGTGGATAGGGTCCCCACGAGGGACACAGGGGCCCCTGCCCTGAGGTCTGCGGAGCCCGCGGGAGGGAGCGGGAGGGAGAGGCCGGCCCGAGAGTAGCGTCTGCGCATCTGCTCGGAGCCCGGGCTCTTCTCCTTGAGCCCCCAACGCCTGCGACCCTGGGCAAAGGGCGTCAACCTCAGAACCCGAGGGCCCTGGAAGGGACGGGACGCCGTGCCTCGCCCGGCCCGGCTCCGCGCGCGTCCGCCCGTGGAAGCTGCGCTCCCCACTTCCATGCCCAGGGCTGGGCTCTTCCCAGAGCTCCTCAGAGTTGTGCAGATCGCAGGGGAGCTAAGAGGTTGCACTGTAACGGTGCAAAGAGCCTCACCCCAAAATACCACGGCGCTCAGCGGCTCGGGTCTAACCGAGGTCTTACAAACTGTTCACCTGCCAGGGTTCTCAGGGTCCCGCTGAGAGTTTCATTTACAGATAATTAAATGCCTAAGTGAAAGAGAAACTAGACTTCGAGGCGCTTTTGCGGGGTATACTCTGGCGTTCAAAGTGAAATCCAACTCGAAATGGCACTTAAAAAGCAGTTTTCTGGGAGGCTGAGGCAGGAGGATCACAAGTCCCTACCTGGACAACTTTTCGGCTTAGGGAGATTGTTTCAAAACAAAAAGTAAAAGAGAAAAAAGAAAAAGAAGGGGAGGGAGGGGTAGCATAAGCAAAGGCAAAAACAAAGCTCATTTTTATTTTCACCTTAATTTTAGAGCTAACACTTTTCTGGTTGTTAGGTCAGTTTGGATGAATTCACACTATCGTGTGGATGTGCATATCCTGTAGCAAGACAGATGCACACAGAAACCGCACAGCTGTTAGTGTTGGTCCAGACGTAAGCTCAGTGTTAAACACCACTGTGTAAACACAGGTACACTTGCTCAACTATCTGTATGTGTCTCTATATAGTCAGCAAAATATTACCAAATTAATATTTATTTAATCATAGCCCAGTTACAAACTGACAGAATATAGCCTGTTAATATTTTGGCGGACATCTGTACAGGCATCTAACACTGTACCCACCTACTCACCCACGTTTGATATAAATGAGTTAATAGTAATACAGTGCTTGCTGCTGAGTACTGAGCACTTCAAAATGTTCAGCCATTTAGTACTTTAAAGACTACATGAGAGTTACAATTGATTTCCCCATTTTACAGATGTGCAAACTGAGGTTTGAGTAATCTGCCCAAAATTTGTCTCAAGACTGAACTCTTAGCCACTAACTTATACTCCTCATCTATATTCCATAGAGAGAGTGACTGTAATGTTTGTTGGTCATGTCTAGAAGCTTGCCATAGAGAGGGGGTACTATTATAAATACCGAGTGAACAGACTTTCATCAGAGCACATGGCCCACCTTCTCCTTGGGTGGACTAAGAACATCAGCTCTGGAATCTCACCACCTGGATTTACATCTTGGCTATGTCACAGTGTGACATAGGGATCCTAAATTTATCTGTGCCTTGGCGTTCTCAACTGTAAAATGGAAACATTAATGATAGCATCCACCATGTGGACAAACTATGAGGATTAGGAGGGAATCTCCTTATCCTAAATTTTCAGTGTTCTTGTTTGTAGCACTCAGCTTTCCACACTAATAAATACAGATCAAGGCCATTTACAATGAATGCCTTGTGTCAGTCCAGCAAATCAGCCTTCCAGCGTCAGTACTTGTGTTCTCATTTTTATATTACCTTTTAAACTTAACACTTGACCTGGGATCTTTCATTTGTTACATACTGATCTACTTTATTCTTAGTATCTCTTAATATCCCACAGGGTTGATGTAACCATTTCCAACTGGCAGAAAATTATTGTTTACAATTTTTTAATCCCATTCATTTTACAAAATACTTGTTGAGCATCTATTATGTTCCTGGCAATGAATCAATGAAGGTATAGAAGTGAATGATGACGTTCCCACTCTTAGGCAACTTTCCTTCCACTGGGGAGAGATATGTTTGTCCTTGTACTTTTGTGTAGATGTGGGGATTCTGGAGGACAGATTCCTAGGGCTGGGACTGTTGCGTCAACATTTTTATTTTAAATTTTAATTTTTAAAGTTTCTAATATTTCCAAATTCCCTCCAAAATAGCTATCCTATTTCACATATTCACATCAAGCTATCAGAAGACATGGGTTCCCATAATCTCTTCCTTGTTGAATATATTTTCAGCTTTTTTAGTTATGATAAAAATAGCTTCTAGTTGTTCTCCAAGTAGCAGTGAGTCTAAGCATCTCGTATATTTCTATTGGCTGTTTATACTTTTCTTGTGATGATTTTGTTTGGATCCTTAATCATTTCTACTGAGTCACTTTTTTTGTTGTTGTTGTTTTTTTAATGGTAGTTCTTTATATATTTTAGATAATATTTGATAGAGTTCTCTGTCAGACAAAATGGCCCCAAGGGTCCTACATTCTAAAATGGCTACCATTCCTAAAATGGTTCCCACTTAGGGAAATGAGCCACTTGGATGGTGGGGAGTGAAACCTACCCCCTCTGGAGAAGCAAAACCTAACTTGTCGCTCCATCCTGCTACCCACATGATCCTCTGCTTCCAATCACTTGGCGTCCAGTTGCCTGCCCAACAACCAGACCAATTCTCAACTCTCAGGATACTCTCCCCACTGCACCACCCTGTATAAACCTCACCCCACTTAATCTCGCTCTTGTTGTGCCCAGATTGCGAAGTCCCCAAAGACCACCAGGAAGCCGTTTCCGAGGCAAGCGCACGAGGGTCGTTTATTCAAGCTCGAGCAGGGGCTCCCAACTGTCACCGATGCAGCGGATCAGAATTGAGAGCCCCACATTTCAAATTAGCGGGGTTTTTACTAAAGTTCCAGCAAGGTTTGGGGATTTTTCCATTTAGCAATCACATGATTGGTTGGCATTTAGCAAGCATGAAGTGTATACTTCTGATTGGCTAGGCCCATTGGGAGTTGAGGGGTGATTACGTATAGGTTTTACGAGGGAAAAGAGGGACAAAGGTTAGTGGCTGACTGTCAAGTACTGGCAGTCAGTAGACACAATGGCTAATGGTCACGACCATTACGTACGGACAGTCAGCACATCTACAGATTGTTCTATGGATAGGGGGCCCGGAAAGTTCATTTCCTGGGCAAACAGATGGCTGAGTAATTAATTTAGGAACTTTGGTTTGTTACAGATTGTATCTTCTGTCCCAGAGCAAACACATTTCAACCATTAATAACAGAGGCTGGGGAATAGTGGCTTTTAGCAAAATGGAGTCGCTTTGGTCTCACACTCTCTCTCACCATTGTTCGAGGCAGCCCGGCAGCTCTTTCCCCCAATAAAGCCCTGCCTCAGGTGCTCCTGTTTCAGCTGGATTTCTTCAATATTTACATACACATTGTCTTAACAGCCATTTCCTTGGAACTTCAACTCCACGAATGTATTTTATTGGCAGCTTCCTGGCTTTGATTATTGCATTGAGACCATTTCTTATTTTGATAGTCTTTTACCAGGAAAGACTGAGAATGACAGTTTTCTTTTCTTATTTTTCCTTCCGTTTTTGGCAGTACTGGGGGTTGAACCCAGGACTTTCACACTGATCTACATCGCCAGCTTTTTTATATGTATGTATTTATTTTTGAGGCCAGATCTCACTAAGTTGCTAAGTTGGCAAGTTGAGCTAGAACTTGTGATCCTCCCGCCTCAGCCTCCCTAAGTGTTGGGGTTACAGACATAGGCTACCATGCCCAACTTTCAGTTTTATTTTCAAACTCAGCGAATTCCAACTTGGAAATGTTTGATTTTGATTCTGCTATAAAAAATAAAGAATTCTTTCCTCTCTTTCTTTTTGTACCTTAGCCTAAAAGAAATGAGCTGGCTTTTCCAACATTCTGCATGGAAATCCACTTAGCCACACCTCCAAGTTCACGAGGACTATTTATGCCTCCATCTGAGCAGGTTACAGTGTTTTTACCAAACGTTACCCCGGGAGGTGGGCACGTTCTTCCAGTCTCCAGTTCAGTGGCCTGCTGTCCACTGGCCTGCACTTGCTGTCTCCTTAGACCTTCTTCTGTCTGCCACCAGTCTCAGGGCTGATGCCACAGTGTGACAGTCAGGGCCTCCAGTGAAAAAGGAACGGGAATTCGTATATGGGCGGGAGAATTGGCTTGTACCCTTTTGGAGGCTGGCAACTTGAAATCCCAGCAGGTAGAGATCCAGGCAGAGCCGATGTTGCAGTTTGGGACCTCGACCCTTTTTCTGCAGGCCTTCAACTGATGAGAACAGGCTCACTATACGGAGGACAATGTGCGTATCAGGTCTCCCGATTCCAGTTTGAATCTCGTCTAAACAATACCTTCATAGTAACAGCCAGATATGTTTGACCAATATTTGGGTACTGTGGCCTAGAGGAGTTCTTTAAGGTTCTTTGTCATGAATGTGTTTTAGGCTTTTGTTATGCAGTACCTTACTTCCAGACACCATTTTCTAATTTTGCATAAAAAGCCAGTGCCCTAAAGTTTAATGACTTAAAGCAGCAATCGTTTATTGTCTTCCATGGGTGGCCTGTTTTCCACCTGATGTCGTCTAGGGCTGTTGTCATCCAGGGAATAAACTTGGCCAGATGTGCCATCTTCCCCCATCTTCTCACAGTCACTAATGTGCCCAAGTTGACTGTCTTTTCTAATTCCTTTATTTTCATGTCACAATTATTTTTTTGGTTCTCTTTCCTTTTTGCTTCTCCTTCCTCTTCAAAATTTCCAGATTTTCTCAGAGGCCAATTCTCCAGTTTTACTTCCCTAGGCCTCCCATTTCGATGACTTTCAC